CTCTCTTCTCTTCCTTTCTTGTTTGTTTTGTTCTGGTTTGCATCTAATCTCAAACAGTTCCATACATCAAGTGGGCTGTTTTTCAACTGAGTCTAATAATCCAAGGCAGAGGGTCATAACAAGCATGAGGAGATTCAATAGGATCATAGAGACTTTTGAGTTGAAGGAGATTGAGACAAGGCATAGCAAATTTACATGGACAAATTGTCAAGAAAACCCGACCTGTTCAAAGATGGATAGGTTTCTTGTTTCTTCAGATTGGGAGGAGCATTAGGATAAATTGGTAGGTAGAGTCCTAGACTTACCTCACATTATTGGCCCATATGTATTGGAGAAGGATCAAAAGGTGGAGGACCTTCTCCATTTAGGTATGAGAATATGTAGCTTACATCCCCAGAATTTGTACAAAAGATGAAGAAATGTTGTGGGAAGAGGAGCCAAGGACAGATTGGGAGGGTGCTAGATTCTATAGAAAACTTCGAAAGGTGAGAGAATTAAGGAATGGAATCTAAATGTGTTTGGGAGAATTGAGGAAAGGAAATCCAATCTAATAACTCAAATTGAAGATTTTGATAGTAAGGAAGAGCAAGGTACTTTGGTGAACAAAGAAGTGAGAGGCTCAATTTGAAAAGAGAAATGGATTTGTTATTACTAAGACTGTTACAGCAATTATTCCCAAGTAAGTTGAATAATGCATTGATGGTAAGATGGTTTTGGCTGTTTAGCACAAAACCCCAAAGCTTATGGAGGCAGTTCACACCAGAAAAGTTTGGAATCAAGAACCTCAACTGGGATCCAGGTATCATAAGCATATCCCACAGCTTCACAGAATCAAAAATAATCGAGAGATTCCATCTAGGGCCGCAAAAAGACCAAATCAAATTCAAATACAGGAATAATGAAATCTGATCCAATAAGAATCTGAGAGATCAGAATTTGGCTTCATATCCAAAAGAGATGTAAGCATGGATTCAAAATCAATTAGTTTACAATTTCGAATATCTGATATGAATCTGATTCAATTAGAATATCAATAAAACTGTATATAATTAGTATAAATTTAAAAATTAAACATAAAATAAAATGTGTACCATAAATTAAAAAAATGTTTATCTTAAATCCCAAATCCCACTTAATTGGATCAGATTGGATTCTAGTGGATCAGATCAAGCAATTTATGAATTTAATTTGATTAATAAGTGGATCACATTTTCTAATATGATTCAATCTGATTATGGCTAAATGGACATCTGAATCTGATTTTTTTTTTGATAAATAGACATCCGAATCTGAATTTAACAAATGCATTCAAATTTGAATTGGATTAAATTTGATCCGTTTGCACCCCTAATTCCATCAATGGTTCTTAGGAGCCAAAGTAAAATTGGAGCTGGCAACAGAGTGCAGTTCTGGAAAAATACTCCTTTCCCCAGCCAAAAAAGAAAAAAAGTGGGAAGATTTTATGGAGAAGCACAACTGCCATATATGGTCAATATTGGAAGAAAGAAATGCTAAACTTTTCAAGCATTGATAGAGAAACATCACAAAAAGTAGTTCATTGGGTTAAAACCCTACCAGTTGGGGAAGCAAAAAACCTGACCTATACAATGAAAGTAGAACTCTCCTGGATAACTCTGTTCGTTAACTCTTTTAAAGATTCCCTAGCATGTAAAAGAGTTAGTAGACATTTTTTTGGGGACAAATGCCCATTGGGGTAAAAAACATTTATGTTTTTTGTGTATTGTGGGGATCTTCTTGGAGCAATGGAAAGGGACAGTATGGGCTTCTACATCTATGTAAATGTATACTCTGAATTTATGATAAATTTAAGAATATTCACCTTATATGATAAAAAGTTGACAATATAATAAATGCAGCATGTTAAATCATAAAAACTAGGCAGTTATTACCTCAAAAGAACAAATAGGAAATACTTTCTGTACTCAGTCAGCAAGGAAACAAATATATCAAATTTAATAACACGTCATCATCATGAAGGTCCAGCAACATATATACATGATACATTGATAATGTTTCATTTTTCATAAAATTTTGCAATAAGCAAGGAATCAGATAGACAGATACTAGCCAATAGTAAAGTAAAAAGGATAACCTTTTTGAACTGGTTTTCCCAGTAATGATTACAGTAAGATGCACGATCGTGCTTGCTCAGCATATTGAGAGAATAAGGCATAGAATCAAAACCAGGAAGCCCAACCTGTTAGATAACAGACGAAATCTAAGTTATATAAGATTATCATAAAATACAATGAATAACTAACAAGTACCCTAAGAAAAGAATATACAAACAACAGAAATTATTCAAAATAGTTTACTTTCTCCACTAGTACACGAAGAGCTACTTCAGTTGATTCTCCTATCTTCTCATAGTTTCCCTTGTCTGGATTGTATTGTAAAGTGGACTCATTGCAAAGGGCTGAGCACATTACTATGTGAAGAAGAGAAGGCAATTGAGCTGGAAACTCAAGCTGCAAAATAATCAACAAAGCGTAAGGAACATTTCTTAAAAGGGCAAACCAAGATTTATATATTTAAAGGTACATAGACCCTAGGCGTTATCTAATTTGATATTTCTGAAGGCAAGCTTGATATTCTTTGAAATAGATGGGCAGGTAATAGATGGGAGAATATCATACCTGCATCCCTGCACCATCAAAAATTATGCCTTCTGGTGCATATGTTGTTCCGCTTACACTGTATTCTGAAGTAACAGGGCCATTGTGCACAGAATGAACAACACATATCTGGAGAGAACAAGCAGCAAAAAATATTTGTATAAATCAGATAAGAGCCAAATAAGTAATGTAATGATAAAAAGGACATAAATGATTGTCTTCTGGTCATACGATAAGAAACTCCAAACAGAAAAGTAAATGGTGAATTCAACTGCTTGAGAGGTTCCTCAAATTACTTACCACCCCTACCTCCCAACAATTGATGCAAATCAACAGAAAAGGAAATTAATTTCCATTTATGGGATATTGCATGCCTTCAAAACCCTCTCTCTTCCCCAGTTTCACTAAATAAGCATTTTCCACAAATTTCAAAAGGAAAAGATGGCTAAAATTGCAGTACCTTGTGAATCAAAGATGTATCCTCTAATCAAGCAAGAAAGAATAAGAAGCCTTAAATAACTTTATCCAACTAAGATTGATAGCACAAGTATCATCCACCTTCTTTTTCCATCCTACAAGTTAGAATTAATCAGCAGGAGCATACTTGTCTTTTTCTACTTGCTATTTTCTCTCTCATATCAGTTTTGTTTGTCGGGGGTATTTGTTGGAATTTCAGCTATTAATGAATGATCATACATACCGGGACTAATTCAACAGTAAGGGGAGTCTAGTTCGGTTTCTCCTTGCTAGTTCAGTGGTGCACATAGGCCCTAGGTGTAGCACTTTCAAAAGGCACATGCCAGGTATGCCTTGTGCTTCAGCCCAAGTGCACGTGCCAGGTATGCCTTGTGCTTCAGCCCAAGCGTGTACCTTTTTATTTTTTGTGCTTTTTGTTCTTCTTTGGACCTAGCAGCTAGGCTGGGGACTCTACCCCCCGAACCCCAACCAAGCCCCTCGAGGCAAGCCCAAACAACATCCATGTTATGGTCTTAAATTCTTAATCCCTACACAAAACAAATGATTTTATAATTTTAATTTCCTTTTAATAAGATATTTTATTAGGATGAACGAATGAACATGGACTTGTTCATGTCCAAGAACCCCCTATTTGTTAATGTTGTTCATTCACTCATCCTAATAAAGTATCTTCTTAAAAGGCAATTAAAATTATAAAATCACTTATTTTGTGTAGGGATTAAGAATTTAAGACCCTAACATGGACTTGTTTAGGCTTGCCTCAAGGGGCTTGGTACAAACATGGCTCGTAGAATTAGGAAGGCAAGATGTTTTACATCACATTTTTTTATCAATAACCACATTTCATTAATTAATCACAAAAATATTACAAGGATGAAGATAAACTTTCTTATCTTCCAACTGGAGCTTGAGCTCCCAAGAACAGAAAAAGGAAAAAATTACACTTGTGCCCAAAACATTAACTCCCTCTCAACTCCTTGCTTAGCTAACCCATTAGATATTTGCTAATGTTTTACATCACATTAGATATTTGAATTAATGCAATTGAGGAAATAAAGAGGTTGTGGGTTTTATATGCTTGAAAATGTTTTTTTTTATTTTTAAATTTTCATTTTAATACATTTTACATGTTATGTTTATGTATTTTAATTTTAGATAATAGGTTTTTTAAAGCATTTATTATAAAATTTAAGTTTATATTTTATTAATATTATGTTTAATATTTTTATTTTTTGCATTTTTTTATTTTTTAGCATTTTTTAATTTTTTGGAATTTTTTTGTATTTTTGCTCCTTGCTACAAAAGGGCATGCACCTCTCCTTGCAACTCGGGTGCAAATTGCCCCTTGCACTTTTAAAACACCATGCTAGTCTTCCCTTTCTCCTCTCCTCTTCTACCTCTTCTCTACTTCTGTTCTTTGCTTCTTTTTCTTTTCCTTTCACTTTCACTTTTTTGAAATTAGCACACTACACATTAAGATTGATTTGCAAGTCATATCACTCATACTTCAAGGTGGTCAACTGTTGGAATCATTTCAAGTGCCACAAGCCAAGTGAATACCTCCATTCCTGGAGGCACATGACTACCCAAGTCTCCTCTACCATCCACCCAAATTATTTGGTAATCCTTATCCATCAACACAAGAGAGCCCTCCAAAGACTTCAAAATAATAACACATTAATTGATCCATCTTTGCAACAATATCTTCTAAATTGTGATCAAAGAATCATCTCATCAATCTCCTCTACTCTTGATTTTTCAATAACTCCTCTAGTCAATGTTTTGTAAAAAACATAATAGAGAAATCACCTTTTTGACCATCCACCTGAATTATTTGGTATTCCTTATCCATCAACACAAGAGAGCCCTCCAAAGACTTCAAAATAATTACACATTAATTGATCTATCTTGCAACAGTATCTTCTAAATTGTGATCAAAGAATCATCTCAACAATTAAACTCTCCTAACCAAGTATTTCTTTAGATAATTGCACTATGTTGAACAGTTAGGCAGGCTTACACAAGCCACTACTTTGTTACATTGAGGATTCACTTTTCCATTTCTATCTAAAGAAAAATGCTGGTAAACGATGACCTAATGTGACTCGGTTTTCTTTGCTCTACAAGCAAGGTGAGAATATTGCTTCTAAAATTTTGTGCCTGACTATTGTAAGAATGAAAATCAAGTCTGAGAGTGATATTTTGTGCCAAACAAAATGCCTGAGAGTAGGGCTGTATCATCAGCATTGGGTAATAGACTACACTTTAATCATCAGTGAATTAGCCGTTATTCATTAAAAAATTATAGCCAATATTTGGAGATAATCACCTTTGATACAGACATCATGTTTGTTGTGAGAGTCCCAGTCTTGTCACTGCAGATTACTGTTGTGCAGCCTAAAGTCTCTACTGAAGGCAAAGACCTTACAATAGCATTCAACCTCGCCATTCTTTTTGTTCCAAGTGCCAAGCACCTAATCAGTGAAATAAAGGAAGAAAAATAAGCAAGTTTTTCAAGAAATCATTAGCTGATAAAATGTCTCTGACAATGGCCTAAATAACTGGCCATTTACCACATATGAAACGTCACTAATGGCTACATGGACTAGTATTTTTATTATATTATGATAATTCTGTAATAAAAAATGGCAATTTCATAATTCATAACTAAGAGTTTGTTTCATTATGCAAAAGATTCCCAGGATTATAAAAGATAAGCATTCATCACTAGATATCAAATAAGCTTCTTTATGTATTTATGTGATTGATTATTAAATATTAGAGAATATTTTTACTTATATACAATATTTCAAAGTGAAAATTTAATCACTCACGTCGTAACAACAGCAGGAAGACCTTCAGGAATTGCTGCAACTGCAAGAGCAACTGCAATCTGGGTAAAGACAAGGAAAAAAAACAAATTTATACAACTAGTAGGAATGATACTTTTTTGCCAACAATATAATTTTGGAAAATTATTGAAATTCCACACATAGATTTGGACAAAGCAATACAACATGTCCAAGAAAGACAAACAATTAATGAAGTACTTCTATCCATATGGCTCTAAACCACAAGAGAGCCATTTGTCAATTATAAATAATGATCCAAACCCTACAATGAGTTCAAAAAGCATGGGAAACACACCTAGAGGTGCACCTCCATGCAAGGCATAGGCAAAATACCATAAGCCATATATTATATGGACACACATTAGATATATGTCTCCCATACAGAGGAACATATCCATATAGATCAACCACAATAGAATAGACCAATGCTTCATGCTTTTTCTGCAGCATTGGTAAGGTTGCACTTGAATGGACAAAGTGGGAACCACCCTAATCATCCTAATGTTTGGATGTTCTAAATCAAGTACAATAATATATTCTTAATGTGAAAAATATAGTATTGTGGAACTATAGAACAGTTCGAACTAAGATAGAAAGGAAGAAAGAAAGAGAGAAGAACAGACAATGGAGAGAGGAGAGTGGAGAGAAACTGCCAAACTGATTAGAGAGAGATTAGAATGAATTATATCTCTCTAAGCAGTCGGGCCGGCTTTATATCATCTCTAAAATAAATGCCGAAATACAAATATGCCCCTATTTATGAAAAACAGTGGACTGGACTGTCCTTAAAACAAGATGAAATTACTTACCTACACAGCCGCCCAAATACACCCAAAATAATACTCTTTTAAAACTTATTAATAGAACAGCTAACTTTACACAAGCACAATAGAAACAATGCTAACAAACATACATTTAATGATTTAAGGCCATAGAGGATTAGCTTTTAACCAAGTAAATGAGGACATGCAGTCTATCAGCAATACCTTGAAGTAATGAATTGCACCACGCAGAAAACCACCATGAGAAGGATCACGAAAGTGTCCAATGTTAACAATCCATACCAAGACACAAATCCCCGCAATGACCTAGAAAAAAAATCAAAGTTCAGCCATGCATAAGCCTGTTGAGAACTCACAGAAGATGAAGTTAAAAAGAAACAACAGAACATGCAATTTAAGTGTTTTTTAATATCATTTACTAACCACTGTTGTAATAATATATAAAAAGAAATATGTGATGGAATCCTTCTACTCATATGGTGGATTTTTTGCTAAACATGCAGGCAATGCTGCATGAAGGGAATGATGTTTCTAAATTTACTTCCAAGGCTGCCCAATGATGGCTAAATTTCTAGAAATATTTAGCTACTCATATACCATTGATGAACCTCAAATAAAGTATATGTTTTAGTGGTTCAGATAAGTTCTGTTCAAAGAGAAAGAAAAAGAAGAAGAAGAAGAAAGCTGTCGAACTAGAGAGTCAAAACCCTCCTAGTCGACCATAATCTCTATTATATTAAAATAAGGGTACAAAGTCAAATATGCCCCTACTTAAGTATGGGACAAGAGAAATAAAAAACAAAACAAAATTGCCATATCACTACACTACTTAAACTATAATAAAAAGACTAAGTTACCCTTACTCGACCAACTCTAACACTCCCCCTCAAGCTGGAGAATATATGTCATATAATCCCAGCTTGTTACATATATAGTTCACTCTCCCTGAACTCAAACCTTTTGTGAACAAGTCTGACCATTGATCACCTGAACTCACGTGTTATGTGCTTATCTCTCCAATAAGGACTTTCTCCCTCGCAAAATGGCAATCAGCCTCTATGTGTTTTGTCCTTTCATGGAAAACTGGATTAGATGAGATGTGGATGATGTGGATTACAACTTAGTTATCACAATACAATCTCATAGGTTTGCTCATTGAGAATCCAACTTCTTGCAGAAGATTTTTCAGCCATACTAATTCACATGTGGTGTGTGCCATGGCCCTGTATTCAACTTCAGCACTACTCCTTGCCACAACAGTTTGCTTCTTATTCTTCCATGTCACCAGATTTCCTCCAAGAAATGTGCAATAACCTGTAGTAAATCTCCTGTCAGATACCGAGCCTGGCCAATCTGCATCTGTATACCCAACTATCTCAAGTCTTCCCCATGATTTGTACAACAACTCACGACCTGGAGCTCCCTTCAAGTACCGTACAATTCTAAGAACTACATCCCAATGAGGCATTCGAGGATTTTGCATAAATTGGCTCACCACACTGACAACAAAGGAGATGTCTAGTCTAGTAATGGTTAGGTAGTTCAGCTTCCCCACTAACCGTCTATATCTTCCAGGACCATCAAACATTTCACCGGCATCACTACTCAACTTAGCATTTGGTTCCATGGGTGTTTCAGCTGGTTTAGCACCTAACAACCCTGTTTCTTCCAACAAATCAAGAACATATTTTCTTTGGCACAAATTTATACCTTGTTTCGACCTGGCAACTTCTATACCCAAGAAATACTTCAACTTCCCAAGATCTTTTGTTCGGAAATAGTCTTGCAAAAAGGCCTTTAGCCTGTCAATCCCTAGTCTGTCACTGCCAGTTATGACTATACCATCCACGTAAACTACTAATAAAATCTTTCCAGCTTCAGAATCATAGTTGAACACTGAGTGATCGACCTGGCATTGTTTCATCCTGAAATCTTTCACCACTTCATTGAACTTCCCAAACCAAGCATGAGGAGACTATTTCAGCCCATAAATTGCCTTTTTGAGTCTACACACTTCACCATCCTCCCCCTAAGTAACAAACCCTAGTGGTTGCTCCATGTAGACCTCCTCCAAAAGATCACCGTGGAGGAAGGCATTTTTAATGTCAAGTTGAAACAAAGGCCAATCATACATAACTACCAAGGAAATCAAGACATAAACTAAACCAATCTAAGCAACAGGAGAGAAGGTCTCTATATAATCCACCCCATACAAATGAGAGTAACCCTTAGCAACAAGTCGGGCTTTCAACCGTTCCACACTACCATCTAGTAAATATTTCACAGTATACACCCATTTACAACCTACAACATGCTTACCTGAAGGAAGAGTGGTGAGCTCCCACGTGTGATTGTGTTGAAGAGCAGAGAGTTCCTCCTCCATTGCTTGACGCCACCCTGTTGAAGTAAGTCTCCTAAACATCCTTGGGTATAGATATAGAGGACAACAAAGAAACAACCTGGCGATGTGAAGTGGAAAGATGATAAACAAAAACATAATTGGATATGGGATGTAAGGTACAACTGCGTTTACCTTTCCGCAACACAATGGGAAGATCTAGGTCAGAAGAGGTAGGCCACTCTGGGATAGAAGCAACTACAAGATTCGCAAATGAGGTAGAAGCTGGAGGAGGTATCGGTGTTTGTCGATGAGTGTACACATACTAGATTGGTGGTGGTTCAATAGGAATTTGCACTGGAGGTGAAGGCTCAGGCATAACAGGAACAACGGGAATGGGATCACCAACGGGAAAAGGAAGAGGTGAAGAGGCTGGGACATCAAGACCCAAGAAGAATGGCACGGACTCAAAAAAAGTGACATCAGGATAGACAAGTGACTTCCGAGTGATGGGATTGTAACACTTGTACCATTTCTGGGTCCGAGATTAGACAAGAAAGATACACTTAATGGAACGTGCGTCCAACTTGTCTAAACCAATGCCCAGATTGTGAACAAAGCGCACACACCCAAAGACCCGGGGAGTTAATAGAAATGGAAATCAAGTGGGGAACAAAATAGAAAAGGGAGACCAACCATGAAGGATGGATGAGGGCACCTGATTAATGAGGAAACAAGTTGTGAGCACTGCATCACTCCAAAAATGCTTAGGAACATTCATATGATGAAGGATAGACCGAGCACTACATCATTCCTGAGGTTCCTCATACTGGCATAATACTCTTCAAGGGTTTGATTTCCTTGTTGTAAATTAAAGACTCCTGATAGAGCTGATATACTCCCGTAGTATTGTCCTGTCCAGAATAAAGGTTCTTTGCATGTTCCCATATTTCCTTGGTTGTATCTAAGAACATAAAGTTTGCACTTATCTTGGGTTCCATACTATTACATAACCATGTCATGATTTGGGCATCCTCTTGTTCCCAATCATCAAACCCTGGAGAGTCAACTGATGATTTATCCTCCTTCACATGTTTCACCTTCCTCTTGGCCTTGAGAAAAGCATCCACTGACTTGGCCTATGGCACATAATTTCCACCATTAAGTTTAATTGATGTCATCTACACACCTAAATAGTTTAAGGGGATCACCACATTAGATTTCTGATCACCACCACCATCTACGGTTGCTGCCATTATGTTCTCAATACACTAGATTTCTCCTAGTTCTGAATTATCAACCAACAAAAAGGATTTCTACTATTCAATCAACACTGCTGCAATCTACACATCACCTTATGGCACTTTCTCAACCAGCCACCATAAAAATAAAAAATAAACACTAACATATACCACCATTCAGGCACATCCGGCCATCTCCTTCATAAAAAAAAAACTTAACCACACTATTTCTCACATCACCATTCAAACACAAACAAAGAAAAAAGCCCCTCATGAAACTGCTCAGTAGAGGGTCTATAACACAACAAACACCACCACACAACCACTAGGGCTGTCACTCATGGTGACAGCAATCTGAGAACTACTCACCTTGGCCTGCCACACCTTCCTAACACCTATAATGGGGATAGCGGCAGTCCTGGATCACCAAAAAAGGGTTGCCGCAGCCTTCTACCTGTGTAACTGAGATTGCACCTCAGGGAAAAGGAGAAAAGAAGAGAAGAGATTGCAGGTCCAGGAACTTGAGATCGCAGCCTTCCTCTCTTTTATTCAGTGCTATGATACCATGTTTTAGTGGTTCAGATAAGTCTTGTTCGAAGAAGAAGAAGAAGAAGAAGAAGAAGAAGAAAGTTGTCGAACTAGAGAGTCAAAACCCTCCTAGTTGACCATAATCTCTATTATATTAAAATAAGGGTACAAAGTCAAATATGCCCCCACTTAAGTATGGGACAAGAGAAATAAAAAACAAAACAGAATTGCCACATCACTACACTACTTAAACTATAATGAAAAGACTAAGTTACCCTTACTCGACCAACTCTAACAGTATAAAACAGAAAAAATTACAAAGTAGATAAGAACACGAGGAACCCTATAAGGCAGATTGCAAGACAGCAAGCCTTTCATCAACATCATCCAAGACTTATCCCAACTATAAGGGGTCAGCTACATGAATCCTGTTTTTCCACTCTGGTCTGTTTAATGCCATAACCATTGTTCAATTATGGGTGCTTAAATCATTTCTTACTACTTTGACCCATGTCCTTTTTGGTCTACCCTAGCCCTTCTAGCCCCTTCAATTTGCAATAGATCACTTATTTTTATGGGTGTTGTTGATGGTCTTCCATGCACGTGACCAAATCATATTAGTCTATTTTCTCTCATTTATCACCTACTGGAGTTACTCTTAGGTTCCTTCAAATGACTTCAGTCCTGATCCTATTATTTCTAATTTTTCCAGTCATCCATCATAGTATACACATTTCTACCACACTCATTTTCTGCCCAGTTTACAAAAAATAGGATGTGCCAAAATAAAATTGCTTCCAATTAATAGAAATGTAGATACTAGAGACAGCTGATAGAAAATCACCTTTGCCAAGAAAGTACCAAATTCATCCAGCTTCTTCTTTAATGGTGTCACTTCCTGCGACCAGTAATATTACATGATCAGAGAAAATTCACCGATATCTAAATGTGATGTACCAGTTGTCAATCAGAGCAGATAAAAAGAAATATAAAGAAGGTGAAATCAATTAGTTCAAGAATCTGTAGCAGTCAATACGGTGCAGAGGATAGAGGGAGGACAGAAGAAAAGAGGAAAGAGGTATGTAGAAGAGTGAATTATGGGTAACAGTGTGCTGTCTCACTCCATTATAAATTAACTTGATAGAAGATAGGAAATTACAATAGTGCCCATGATAAGTAGGACAGCAGCTTCAATAACTAAAAAATAAATAAAAGAAAGATGGCCTAAGGCCCACTAAGACATGAGGCCCATCAGTAAAGAAAAAAAAGGGATCTACACTGAGGCCCATCTTGACAACAGTGCCTATGCAATTTCAACAAAAACAATAAAAAGTTATTGCACAGGTGTCAGAAAGAGAACGGATGTGGTAAAGACAGTTTTGCATTTATAACCATCTTAATGCAGCAAATAACTCCAAAAGTTTAAGCACACAACACGAGTGCTTATCATATGAAACAGTTTCCAAGAACTAATGAACTATGGAAATACAATACATAGAAAAGGGAAAAGAAAATTTTCTAACTGCAGATCAATCATTAATATGGCATAAAATTCAGAAGCAGCACACTATGGAGCTTACATCTTCTGTTCTTAACATGGCATCACGTATACCACCCATAGCAGTGTTAGAGCCAACACCAACAACAACAGCTCTAGCTCTTCCAGCAACCACTACCGTGCCCTGGCCAGCAGCATAAGTTCAAATTTAGTTATAATTATAAACTAATTCAAACAAAATTCTCAAAGGAAACAAACTTGCGGATATTTGAATATATATTAGAGTTTCTGTAAATTCTCCATCTGTTATAAAACTAATTTTGGTCACATTCCCACAGAACCAAATTTGAATACCCTTGTATGAAATGGCCTTGGCCATACCGTTGCAAATTCAGATCTTTAAGTAGAACTCATAGGAATTAGGATGTCTAGCACAGTATAGTATCAAGAACAGCTTCACTATAGTATCATGAACTGATTCAGCTCTAGTGCATTTTGTCAGATAAATATTCCTTAACTTAGATTACATATAAAGAAAAAACTAAAAATGAAAATGGACAGAAATGGTACTTCAATTTTGAAATACTTTCTCTTGTGGGGAGAATGCAACTCAAGAATTTTTGACAAGCATCATGTATCCCAAGTAATCCTCAGGAAATCTATTGACATGATTTCACAGTTTCACAAATGATTTGCAGTATGAAATGAGTTAGGGAAAGTCACCCCTTCTTCGCTTTCTTCTTGGGAGTTCTATTGAGTCCCATTATATGGTTAACAGTTGTACATGCGCACATTTGTATATGTATTTTCATATTCTCAGAAAAAAACCAATGAAAAGAACAAGAAACTCTGAGGTCCAGCCATGAAAAATACACCACAACAAACTTAATTCATATTTATGACTATTATCAACATACATTCAAAATTGAAAGGGAAATTTTACAAGACATGTAGAAGACCAATTTTTTTTTATGGAGGACAATTTTGGGCCATCAAGAAAGAAGTCCATGAGATGGGTGTAACATTAGGGTTTTATGATGAATGAGTGAGAAAACCTTAAAGGGTGGAATATAACATGTCTGTATCCATGGGACCTTGGGTGGCCCCAAATATGAGGAAATAGATTTAAGATAGTCTTAGTCATGGCCCATGGCTTTTTTAATTAGCAAGTCATGCCCCATGGCATTGAAGATCATGGAATTTGATACAATTAAGGGGTCCAAAAGATCATTATTAAAGAGCTAAAACGAGATTGAAAAGGATACTGACCAAATTAGTGAACTAAACCTGACGATATGGATCTCCATGAGTAGAACAACAAAACAAGACATGTGTAAATGAACCAAAACAGTACTATAAGCTTAGTTGAGTTGAAATGTTGAATTGTATTGCCAATGAACAACCCCAATTGAGTTTTATGCCCCTAGAAGAATCTGAAACACAACCACCTTTTCCTTCATTGCAAGGCCACAACTTCCTAGGGCAGGAAATAGTGTGGCTGACCAGTTGGCTAGACAGGAGGTAAATAGGGAAAGCTTATACTGAGGGACTACTTTGTAATCTATTTGTGAATCCCCAATGGGGAATGGTAAAGTAGCACTTGATAGTCTTTAATTCTTTATATTTGCACATAATTTCTATTTAAGCTAATATAGAGAATTGTTACCTTTCAAAAAATAAGGTCACAAATCACAACTTCCAGTTAGGTAATGGAACTAAATTTCTTTGGTGCATTTTTATGCTTCACGGAATCTTTAGTCCAGTATTTGACTATCTGTTGGGATTGCACCTGGAAGGGCTAGCCACAAAGGATTAGTAGTCTGGAAAATGTTTCCATTGGTGAATTTTTCAATAGTCTGGGGTGAAAGAAATGCCCGCATTTTTTAAAACAAAAGCAGCAGCTCAGATGAGTTAAAAAGAAAGCTACTAGGCTTAGCATCAACCACAGATTCAGGGATGCACGTCATCACTCTTACAGTGTTACCTTTCTTTTGATACTCTTTTTGCACATACATAGTCATACTTTGACAGTGTTCATACAAACATATACTTATGCATTACTCATTGTACAGCACCTCAATGTACATGGAAACTCCTAGTTTAGTCAAGAATAAATACAAAGCCTTACTTTACCTTTTTCAGAAAAAAAACACAGAAAAACAAAATCAATAATTTAAAGCTGTAATAGAAAGATAAGAATAAGAGGTTCCCCAAGAAGGTAAAGGAAGAAGCCAAGCTGATATAGCAGCCGGAGAAACAAAAACAAGAAAACACAACTGCTTGCAGTCAATCCGAGAACTGAAAGCTCCAGAACAGATTTCCACTCACAACCCTACTCCTAAGAAATCTATCTGCCATTGACTCCATAGATTGCAGATTAGAATCCATTTTAATGAGTCATTCATACTGGAAGCCAAAGCACACCACTCTGAAGTGATGTTGCAACAACCATGAACTCTTAGAACCATCAAGTGTCCAACCAATAATCATCTATCAATAAACCCAATCTCCACACTCTGAAAACCTAAAAGGTACAACAATCTCAAACTCTTAAGTGTTGAAATCTTGGCACAAAACACTGCCTATGTGACCAATTAGCCAAGAATATATCAGATTGATATCACCCCAGTGGACATTAGTGGCACCTTAAACTTTAGATGGGCTTAGGTTCCAAGGAGATCAGCCATCAAATTAAGTTTAATAGCTCCCTTGGGGATAAGAAGGTCAAAGAGCTTGCCATTGCTTGCCATCCCAGACCACTCATATATAATGTGAACCCATCTCTTGTTAGAATGCAGTTGGCTACTCTAACTGTGACCAAATAAGTTATGACCTCATAATGGTATTTACTGGAGAAAATTATAGAATACTCTCATCCCATATGCTCAACAAAATAGCACTCTGGTGCATTACCAACTTATTTTCATTCTAGTTGGAGAAGAGAGGAAGGTAATCCCAAAGGCTGGAGATGTTAGTGGGGGATCCATTGAGCTCTGAACAGGGTGATGAAAATGATTTTAAATGTCTCTCATAAGAATAAGAGCTGGAAAAGCAATTCATCATCTCCAAGCCAACAAGAAGTTCAAGATATTTAATTCAGAATTAACTCTTAGAGGCAGTGTTCATATCCTAGTCTGTAATAGCTTATAATCCCAGCTGTCAGCAGCAGGTGTATTGTGGATCTAGGTTGAATTACTAGATTCCATAAAATTATGATGAAGCCCGAAAATTGATAAAATCAACAAGTATCATTTATATTTCAGGACAAGTTCATAACATCTACCGAAAATAGAATGTTTGTCTTGTCTTGGTACACGGCATTTGTTCTTAATGTGGATTCAAGATCTTTCTCAACAGAGCAGCTTTCACCTGTCATAATCAAAGAACTGAATTTAACCATTCTCATGCCTCAATTATAGACCCATCAACGATAAGAGAAAATAGCTAATTGGACTTGCTAGACTTGAAATACAGATATGACCAACAGTAACCAAAATAACAATCTGAGCTACTTAACTGAAATGCAGATAAAATTAAAGGAAAAAATGCATAAATACGCAAACATGTATAATGATGCAACCCAACTTCTTAGAGCCAAATTACACATTAAAACTAAAAATAAAACTGCATGATTTTTTCTCTTTGATAAGTAATAGCAGATTTCTTACACCATCAGTCCCAAGCCCAGATAAAGAAGGGATATGTCAGGTCGAAGGAGCAGAGTACCCACCTGCATCCAACTGGTTTCTTTCCTTTGGACAAGTCAACTAGCTCCCAGGTATTATTTTTCAACAGGGCATCCATTTCAACTTGCATTGCACCTCTCCACTCCGGGACTGATAGGGCTTCTTGCACTGTTCTCGGAATAGGGACATCAGCAACGGAGGTGAGATAGGACCTGTAGGAGGGAGATAGGCGATCATAGGACAAAAACTGGGAGATGCAGTGGGCTGTAGATGTGGTGCAATGCCGTTTTCCTTTACGGAGGGCAATGGGAAGGTCAAGGTCATTTGCAGAGGGTGAGGTATCAACAATGGAAGGAGTCTCTGTGGGCCCTGGGACTGTAATATCTGGACTTGGAGCCGCAGAAGAGGTTGGAGCTGGCCGGGACTGCTGATGTATTTTTTAGACCAAATCCACTCCAATTATCAAGGTGGAATGATTGTTGAGAAATCGGGCTGGCAATTCAAAACTGTTTGTAGGAACTCCGAATAGTTATTTTTCTGATCATGGATTTCCCTTATTTTTTATTCCACTATATAGGAGCTGAATGCATATTCTGTGCATACTTATAAGCACACTTTTATACATGCTTGAGGGCCTCTCACCCTCCATATTCACATTTAATACAATATTTTTACCACTATCAAAAGAAAGGAGGAATGTGTCAGGTTAGCATCCAGCATTAAAACTTATGCCAAATTCTAAAGAACATGGATGGTGGTTGTCAATTTTTGCTCATATTAGGGTGTTGGATATGGAACTGAACATAGCAGAAGGGTGGAACAGGATTCATGTAGCTGACCACATATAGTTGGGACAAGGCTTAATTGAGTTGAGTTGAGGTGACAGCATATTTCATTAATTATAAAAATAGAAGGATATATAAAAGAGGACACATCTTAAAAGTGGTACGTACATGGACATAAAAGCAAGAAACAATTGGAACTGCATATAATAGTAGAAGATCAAGACTGCAATCAATCTTGAACCCTAATAGATTTTAGGTTATGAAAAGCAGAAGAAAAGTGAGAGGAAGGAGAAGGAAGAGAAGAGAAACAGGAGAACACAAGGGTTTGAAAGGAGGGACAGATTCTAACACATCTGCCGCCACCACTCTCTTAGTATTTATAGGTTATGTTCAGTACATAGAGAAAAGGACAGATCTGCCCTTAGTACTTACATGACAAATAAAGTAAGTAAAAACTAAAATAAATAACAACTAAAATAACAAACTGACCCCAACTGACACTACTATGACTGAAACAAATAATTACACATGCTGTCCTACGAACACAGTGGGAACCACTGCTGTGGGGCCCACATCAGTGTTCTCTACAATAATAAATACCAATGCCTCACTAACCCTTCCCACTTGGATCCAAAGTCAATCCTGAACTTTTGTTGTTCGATTGCAAAATAGAGTTCATTAAAATAAAAAGATGTACAAGAAAATGGTGTCAACATATCACCAAGGAAAAAGGAAGCAGTGAGAATCTGGCTTCATGCCTTCATACTTTTATGTAAAACATCCATGCATATTGTAGTGAGAATGGGCCGAATGGGCCTTAGTGTTCTTTATTTCTTTTAAGTAGTATTTATTTATTTAAAAGTTATGTTTCTTAGTTAAGGACCTTCTTTTATTTTCTTTAATTATTTCTTTAGTGCTGGCTGCCCCATTAAGGGCATCCAAGTAATTGCACTCAGACATAGAATTATTAATAGAAGCGATGAAATGGGGCTAGAGAGAGAGGTTTGAATTCTTCTTTTCTCTCTTCCTTTCTTTTCTTCTTCCCCAATCTATTTCTGAAACTTCTTTCTCTCTCTCTTTTCTTCTTTTCTTGCATTATCTGAATTACTGTAGATGCAATTTTCAACTTGGTATCAGAGCCATTTTGACCAAGTGGTCTAGTGTTCGATCCTCATTATCCCCATTATAATTAAATAAGTTTTAGCACAAGGTATGGGTGGGCATGTGCTTGTTCACGCTTCAAGCCCAATGGGCTTTCGTGTGAGGGGGCATGTTAGAGAATATCAACCTATTCAAGGACCTCACCTAACAGCTTTTAGGTCCTCTCAATCCATCCCAAAGTTTGTTTCAGATGCCTTAGCCACACCAAATTGGAGGGATGCTATGAGTACTGAAATAGAAGCCCTTCATAGAAATAGTAGTCGATCAAGACTACAATCAGTCTTGAATTCGAAAGCAAAAGAAAGATTTCAGAAGAAAAGAAGAAGAGAGGGGGAAAAGAAGAAGCACACGAAGAGTTTTTAGAAAAGAGAGAGGGTCAATCATAATGATTTGCCGACCCACTCTTAATATTTATATATGTTGACTAATTGTAAAAGGGCTGAATTGCCCTTATTGCTTACATGGCAAATAAACTAATAAAAAAGCTGAAATAACAAGTTGTAACAACAAACTGAAATAACTACCAACTAACACTGACACAACTAACAAAAAACATATGCTATGCTGCCATACGANTTGGTAGGTCAACCAGTGCCCAAGTATTATTCTTCAACAGGGCATCCATTTCGACTTGCATTGCATCTTTCCATTCTGGAACTGATAAGGCTTCTTGCACTGTTCTTGSAATAGGGACATYGGCAATGGAARTGARATAGGACCGGTAAGAGGGAGATAGGCGATCATAGGATAAGAACTGTGAAATGCTGTGAGCTGTAGATGTGATGCAATGTCGTTTCCCTTTGCGAATGGCAATAGGGAGATCAAGGTCATCCACAAGAGGGGAAGTGGCAACAGTGGAAGGTGTCTCAGTAGGCTCTAGATCTAGAGCTGCAGAAGGAACTGGAGCTGGCCGGGACTACCGATGACTAGGATCAACCTGCCTGCATCACCTGTGATAGACTCTCAACTCCTGATCCCTTTGACCACCCTCACCACCACAGCCTTCATCACCCAATGGAATAGGTAAAGGAACAGCCCCACTCCCACTACGCTCCCCCTAAGGAAAGAGACTCAAAATCCCACTCCTCTCACTGCTCTCCCCCTGAGGAGAAACCCTAGGATAATAGGGTGTCTCCTCAAAGAAGGTGACATCCATGGAGACAAACATTTTCCCTGAAACTGGATCATAGCAGCAATAACCCTTTTGAGTTTGTGCATAACCAAGGAAAATGCATTTGGAACCCTTATGTTCAAACTTGGAATGATGAGGCCCGAGAAGCTTAACGAAACAAGTACAACCAAAGGTTTTAAGGGGAACAATGAACAACTCCTCATTTGGGTATAGAAGGGAAAAAGGGGTTTTCATATCAAGAACCCGGGAAGGAACCCGATTAATGAAATATACTGCCGTGATGATAGCATCACCCCAAAAGCGAATAGGTACATTGGAGGTAAACATAATGCTTCTAGCCACCTCCAAGATGTGCCTATTCTTCCTTTCGGCAACGCCATTCTGTTGCGGTGTATGAGGGCAAGTGCTCTGGTGAATAACTCCATGGCTAAGAAGGTAGGAGGTCAATGGCTTAGCAAAGTATTCCTTTGCATTATCAGATCTAAGGACTTTGATTTTGGCCCCAAACT